CCAGAAGCCAGAAAAATGTTGTAATTACAGTCACGTGACTGTGGGATGTTGCAAAGGCCATAAAGGTGAGCTGGTTGCCAAGTACCCAAAATGTGATCACATTGATGGGAGGTCGGGTGGGAAAGCCACCTCCTAAGCAGCTCTGGGAAGTTTATCTTAACTTCAAACAGTCATTAAATGACTGGTCATAAATCAAAGACTACTTTTAGACATCATATCCAAGAGACTGACAGAAATGATTTATAAACAAGAAAAACAACTATTTTAACATTTTCTCTACTAAGTGTGTGTTACTAAGTAAAACACATGCTGGCAGACAAGACACTATATTTTTGAGAATCAGTAACTTCTCAGAAATCATTTGCAAAGCTCCCTTAAACTGAAAGTAGACTTCTCTGCCGCCAATTAAAATGGCTCCTTTTTGAAATAGTTTCACTTCAGTTTATCAACCACTCCCCATTTCACAATAAGTAATGTAAAAACCCTTTCAAATTCAAATTCTGATGACTAGACCCACTGGGCTGTCATTTATCTATTTATTCACTCTCTACTTCTGAAATCCAATAAAACTATAATAGTAGTTCTATAATAGAAGAATATAAAAAAAGATCATCAGGAACAATAATGTCCAGGCCCAACCCAGAGTGGAACTTTCAACTTGTACCAGATCCCCTTTCTCAGGACTTTCTTTAAAAACTATGTTTTATAGCTCTCAACACTCAGCAACAGAGGGGCTAGTCTGATCTTAAGAAATAAACTATTTCAATTAAGTGACTGCACCAAGGAAACTCAACTCTGTAAATAAAAAAAGGAGCTCTTGGCATCATTTAGCAAAATGACTTTCCTCCTAGATGTTTGGGGATTTCCCAATCTAGCCCTGAGATTCCAAGGCAATTTCTTACCTGAAAGTCAATCAAGACCAACCCTGCTCAGCTATTAATGTTAGATTATTAACAATCTAATATTAGCAATATTAGATCAACTAATATTGATTAGATGTTGCTTATAACATTAAAATAAAATCAAGCCTGAGAATCCAAACGGAGTGAAATTTGGGGGAAGAAATGGCTGGAATTACGAAGGACTCAGTCCAATTGAACGGAAAAACGTTCAACACACAAAAAAAGACAAAACTCACATTTTGATAAGGTCCTACAAGGAAACGGTTGTGAACATATCGCTCCACCAAGCTGGTCTTGCCTACATACTCTTTGCCCAGCATCACAACTTTGGCATCCACGCGTTGCCCGCTCATTCTCCTGCCCTCGCAGCCGAGTGTTGCCCTTCAGAACTCCCCCAACGCAAGTCAGGTGGAGCAGCCAAAGAGGTGCAGCTCAGCTGGGCAAGTTCACCTGAAGCAAGGAGAGGAGGAAGTGCAGTGATTGGGGAGCAGCATAAAGATCTCCTCTCCCTCCCCACCACATGCCATCACAACGGAGAAGATATTTGACCAAAAGCTAGGGCATCCTTCTCTTCTGCTCCTCCTGCAAGCCGCATTTGGCCGCCAAGAGTGACGGAGCCTTGGATCAAGAGACCCATCGCCCCTTTTCGCACGAACAGCACACTAAACACTCCTACCGGTACCTGTGAGAAGACAAGTCACCAGACCAGAAGCACAAGCTTTTTTAGCCTTTCAGTTCAGAGACCTCGCCTAATATTAGTAGCTAACATCAGCAGCTCGAGAGGCAGGAATCGACTCGGGGAAGCAGCGGCGCGAGAAGGAAGATCTTACTTGGATTCGAGGACCGGTTGCCCGGTGCGTTCAGCGTTTCGTCGAAGCGTCGGGTCCGGACCACTTTCCCAAGGACCAAGCATGGGCAGCAGCGCTGAACGAGGCCGGCAGCTAGTGAGGGAGACGCTGCACGATACTCACCCCGGCCTCATGTCTCTGGAAGCGGCCGGCCACCCTCTACTGGAGACGAAGCGAGGAGAAGCGAACCAGCGGCTTCCTTCCGGGCCGCCTCGGCCGAGCAGTTTCCCCAAACATACCCGGGGAAAGGGGAGGAGCTTCCCGCCGGGAGCGGAAGCGCGCTCCGAGCGGGGCGGGGCTTGGGCTGAAAGCAGGAGGGGAGGAGGCCGCGGCGGAAGAAGCGGTGGCGTCGCCCCACGGAAGTCGTTACGGTTCTCCTGTTTCCGCATGGCGGCTGCGGTGCGCCTGCAGCTGCTGCTCCTGCCGCCATCTTTAGCACTGCCCGCGTTGCGGGGACGGGACGGCGGGAGACCGTGAGCCGGGTCGGAGCAAGGCGAGCCGGGTGACGCCCCCCCTCTCCCCCGCCGGCTCCTTCCTCCTCTGCGTCTCCCGCAGGATCGGTGACCGCGGAGCTGATGGGGAAGTACTTCCTGACCCTGAGCGTCCTGAAAGGGCCTTGGGACCAAGTCTTCACCGCCTTTTGGCAGCGCTACCCGAATCCTTACAGGTTAGGGGAGCGCGCGGGAATGGACTCTTCGCCGCTTCGCGCTCGGCTTAGCCCTCGGTGGCGGGGCGGCTCCGTCCTGTCGGTTTAGGGACTGGCCCTAAACCGTCCTTGTCTCCTGGCGGGGGGCTCAGAGAGATTGGGGGGGGAGGGAACTCTAGTTACACGGAGCAGGTTCTTCTTTCGGGGCAATATGGAAAGGGCTGCCGTTTGGAAACCTCGTCTTATTCATCCCAGTTGCTATTGAAAAACCGCACCGCTGCTTTGTGATTACTTCCTGAGTAAGTACGTGGGGCTCCGGCTGCGGTCTAGAGCTGGGGAGTTGTGCGCCGCCCTGGAATTCCGCCCAGGGCTAAACCTGAAGCCACGGGCAGCTGATGAAGTGGAGGGAGTGATTGTAAAATCCGAAGCCTTTTTCCTAGTGGCGAAGGCCGGTGTGCGACCCTCTCACCCACTAGAGGGAGGAAGGGAGCGAGCGGTGCTGAGCTGATATGTGGCTGCTCGAGCGTCATCTTCAGGGGATTAAAGAGAGCTTTGCTACTGCGATTGGAAGCTTGAAATAATAGGAAGTTGGGGTGATGGTTCTTAGCTGCTGTGTTTAGAAATCCAAAAATTCCTGTGGGAAAAGAATGATCAATAATAATGGTTTAACTTGGATTAACTAGTGCTAGAAGAAACTTTTCAAAATGAGCCCCTCTCAGGGAATGCTCCAATAGTGTAGAATAATACTCCTGACGAAAGTTAGCAACTGCTTATCTTCTCAAGCCAGTAGGAAAGGCCTCTTTTATCCTGATCTCATTAACTATAAGGTTAATCTTGGTCATTGTACTTAACTTACTCCCCCCCACCACTTTAACATATATATTTGGCTGAAATAATTAAAAGGTGATCTACGTAGTAGTTAAACATGAGATCACTTCTCTTGCTCACTGGATTCTGAAATAACAAAATAAATGCATGCTGGTAGAATTATAATTCTGTCAAAAGTAAACCTGCAAGTGATGCTGCTCCATTTCTCTCTCCTTCCCACTCAGGACAGGTGTGCTTTTGACAATAGATTCTAGATATGGAAATAGGGTAGCAAAGATAGAAATAGTATTATCTGACTCTACTGAATTATGTCATTAGATAAGCAGGGAGTGTTATGCTGCTATTTAATTACAGTTGCATAACATAGGATAGTGTCTTAAATTCTTTTTTGTCTTTTTGTTTTGCCCAGCAAGCATGTCCTAACGGAAGATATCTTGCACCGAGAGGTGACTGATGACCAGAAACTGCTTTCCAGGAGGCTCCTAACCAAAACCAACCGGATGCCCCGCTGGGCAGAGCACTTCTTTCCATCTAATGTCGGCCGCCATGTCTATATCCTAGAAGATTCCATTGTGGACCTACAGAATCGAACCATGACCACATTCACCTGGAATATTAATCATGCACGTCTTATGGTAACAGTAAAATGTTTTATATTTATCTGCAGCCACTACGGCAAGATAATGATTCAAAAGGCTTGGGGAAGTGATTATTATTTTGGAATGTTGTCTTTCTTGCAGGTAGTGGAGGAGCGATGTGTTTACAAAGAGAACCCAGAAAACAGTAGCTGGACAGAGGTCAAACGGGAAGCCTGGGTCTCTTCCCGTCTCTTTGGCGTTTCTCGTGCTATCCAGGTAAGGGAGCTACAGATCTGTATATGCATGATAGAGACAATCTATAAGAAGCAATCTGGGACTACTGGTATGTAGCTGAAAAAACAGGCTGATTGCTCAATGTTTAATCTCTCCTAATAAATAGACAAGAGACTATTTTTATCTCTGTTTCTTGCTCAACTGGCTGTTCTCCTGTTTAAGGAATTTGGCTTGGCTAGATTCAAGAGCAATGTGACCAAGACTACCAAAGGTTTTGAGTATGTGCTGGCGAAAATGCAAGGTGGGTACACCTTTAATAGCAACTAATAAAAATGCAGTATATAAAATGTAGATTGTAGAATTAGCACTCTTAATCGCTTTCTTGGACTTGTTCTAGGTACCCCAGGTAGTCCTCAACTTATAACTACAATTGAGCCCAGAATTTCTGTTGCTAAGTGAGACAGTTATGTCCCATTTTACAACTTTTCTTGCCACCGTTAAGTGACTCACTGTAATTATAAAGTTATTAACACAGTTATAAGTGAATGTGGTTTCCCCCATTGAGTTTGCTTGTCAGAAGGTCGCCCCAAAAAATAATGATCACATGACCCCAGGATATTGCAACTGTCATAAATATGAGCCAGTTGCCAAGCATCTGAGTTTTGATCCCATGACCATCGGGATGCTGCAACGATCATAAAGTGTGAAAAACTGTCATAAGTCACTCTTTTCACAGCCACTGTAACTTTGTTCACTAAATGAATGGTTGTAAGTTGAAGGCTACGAGTATTAAACATGTAAAATCATTCCTCATAGGTAATGACTATTAAAAATTTTATACAATATTTTCCAAAATAGGAACTAAGAGTTTTACAGAAAAACTAGGTACAGTGGATATATTTACTTACTCCTGGACTTTTGGCTTATTGATTTTATAGGTGAAGCACCATCTAAGACACTAGTGGAAACTGCCAAGGAGACAGCTTTGGCAGTTACTGAGAAGGCAAAAGACTTTGCTGGAAAGGCAGCTACTACAAAAAAGCAACAGTATGTGTGAGAAAACAGTTTTCCCACTGAAGGGAACCAGAATGCCACTGGCACAGGGTGGTATAATACTGGAAGGTTCACTTTAACTAAAGCTTCCCTTCCTTTGGGACTTGACCAGAATGTCTGTAGATTTTATGTTTTTTTAATTGAGACTGTACAAATCTGACAATCATCTTCTTTCTTAAAGGTGTAATTTTCATTAAAACCATAGACTTCAATTTATTTCGGTATCAGGATCTGTTTTTCATCAATGATTTAATTATCTTCCTGTTTACATTTGCCTCTTATGCAACTCAAAAGCAAGCCTTTGTATATGAGACTTCAGAGAATTGGTAGCTATTGGTGAATAAATATTACAAATTACTGTGCTTAGGTTACAACTTATCAAAAACCCACTAAATAAGTCTTAAAATGGGTCACTTAATAGGTCAGCAAAAGCTAGATTTGCAATGGCAAAAAGTCTCTTGAAGCAAAGCTTTACTATTATTCCACAGTCTATTCAACAACAGCAAGACACATTTCATATAAAAGAACTGAGCCTAGCGTTTACTGTTGTGATATGGATTTTTTAATCCCCCCTTTAGATAAAAGCTAAGTGTATCTTTTGTTTAAAATGCCAGCAGGTGTGTGGGTGTCTTACCAGCTGAAGTCTCTGCAGAATGGACTTGCTTGCTCCACAAACCTTAACTAGGATGCAGTGTAAGATGCAGCTACTCATACCAAGTGCATGTCAAGTGTTTTAAAATCTCACTCTTCTCCCTCCTGCCATCACATTACCATGTAAAGTTAGCCAGCTTCAGTATGTAATTCTTTTAACAATTGACCTAGTTGGTTTTGTGAAAAAGGTAGAGATGCAAAACTTGGTTTCATGAGGAGATGCATAGTCTCTCTTTTATAAGAAAGGGGGTTCCTCTTTACTTACAGAAAACAGTCTTATAAACCATGTATCAGTTATCCTGCCACGAAGCAATTTTTGAAAAGCTTGAAGCTGGTCTAGATGAATGCTGTCCTCTTAACTGAACTTCTGTCCATAACCAGAAGTTGCTGATAGTGGAATAGCCGCGCTCCTGCCGAGTACTGAAAGCAGCCATGACATCTCCAACGCTGGCAGATGCCACGCCTTCTATGTCCACTTCATCTTCTGCAACAGGGAAAAAAAAAACTTAGCACAATAATGCTTTATTCAAATGGAATGCAGTATCTTTTATACAAGCTTCCTTTTCAACGTAGGCATAACCAACTTTCCTAGTAACTGCTTATTTCCTGTTGTCTCTCCCTGTCCAGTTCAGTCCAGCAGGAAGATATATTCTGGATCCTGTCAATTATAGTCATCTTGCAGGACCCAGGAAGCACACATACTCTATTGCAACTCTTGCCCTCTAGAATGATCTCCCCCGCTCTGAGATTTCATAAGCCTCCATCCTTGTGGGAAGCCTCCCTCCCTTTTTTTTTTTTTTTTTTTTGTTTTAATAAGTTGTTTTTTAGTTGTAGGCTGGCCAGAATTGCTTGGGAGCCATGTGGCCTATAAAGACCTGGCTCAGTCATCCTCACCCTAGGTAATCTCCAAATTTACCATAACTTTTATCATTAACACTATAGCCAGTGACTTTCTGCTTATCAGACCCTGCATTTTTTGCTGCACAACTTGTTGGCATCATAAAGATGTAGCACTAGAATTAATTATCGGGCATTGCCCACCTGAGTCAGAATGCTCAGAGGAGAACCAAGAAGAATCCAGGCTATCTGCTTCTGCCAGTTCCATATTCATTTGGGCTTGCAATTCTTTTAAGCGCTGGTGCAGATTCTGCTGCTCACAACGTAGCCTCTCTTTCTCTTGTTGAGCTTTCTGTTCCTGATGTTCCAGCCTCTGGGAGTGAAAGAAGGATCGGGAATAATATTTGGAGTTACAATTGAGATGCTTTTATTTCATATCTCTTAGTAACATCACACTGGCCACTGCTGGAAACAAAATAATACCACCACTTTCTCAAATTCAGCTGGGAGCATTTGCTAAGTAGTCCGTCCTAAACACAAAACTGAAGAAATTATAAAAAGTTATTCTTGGCTGGATTTAGATTTCTCCCTTTATTTTCCTTGGTTCTTAAACTTACTTGAAGGCTGTCAGGAATTTTTCTCTTTTTATACAAATTTTATTAAAAGTTTAAATTTAAAAGAGATAATATAAACTAATGCAAAATAAAGGAAACAAAAGGGTGCAGGAAAAAAAACTTGATTTTCTTTGCAGCAGAAATATAATGTAACATAATTATCTTATTTACTCACTTTTTCTATTCATTTTTTCCCCCAAATCATTAAAACTATGTCATAGGTATATTTTTTTCCATTTCAAAGTCTGGAGGGGTTTCCAGTCGGCCATAAATATAGATATCTTTAATCAAGGAAGTCAATTTAGCCATCTCTGCAAGTCCCATCATCTTCACCAACCATTCCTTTACTGTGGGTAGTGTCAAATTTTTCCTCTTTTGAATTTTTTTTGAACACGTTGCAGTTATACATAAAAGCACAAGTTCTATGGGGTTTTTTCAAGCTACCCATTAATCCCAAATCAGAAAGTTTGATTTCAGTTGTACGCTAGTCTTTAAAATCTTTTGAATTCATTTGTATCCATTTTTTACACGTCCACCATATATGATAAAATGCCCCTTCATATTGTTCACATTTCCAACAAAGATTTGAAGTTCCTTTATACATTCTAGACCAGTGGTTCTCAACCTTTCTAATGCCGTGACCCCATAATACAGTTCCCCATGTTGTGGTGACCCCCAAGTGGGTGTGGCCACCAATAAGAGGGAGTAGGACAGCTAGGGAAAAGGGAAAAAAATGGCGGACAGCGTGGTTTGGCGACCCCCATGAAATGGTCATTCGACCCCAAATGGGGTCCCGACCCACAGGTTGAGAACCACTGTTCCAAACAATTTCTCTGATGACAAATTAGTTTTCCCTTCTATATTCATTTCCACTTATTGACTTGATGTTTAAACTTTTTTTCTATATTCAGTTTTAAAGACCATAAGTTATTTCTAATAAATAAAATATTAAAATTTGAAACCTTAATACCATTTGCAAATTACCAACAACTAAACCCAAGAAAGGCGGTCTTTAGCTGGAAGAAGGAGGCTGTTACTTTACTGTTACTTACTTTAATGTGCAATCTGGCTCGATGCAGAAGACTAAGCATTGTGTAATGAGAATGCTCTGTATTTGTGGGGATCTGCTGCTTCAACTGTTCTAAACACTGCCGTAGCTGGGCCCTTCTGCTGGGAAGAAACACAGATTGTGGACAATCACATTTTAGGTAAAGCCTTAATTGAATTCTAGACCCCAGACCAAGGCAGAACCACATTTTCCAAAGAGTGAATAATATATGGCTGGCCTCAATCATTTCTTAATTCAGGGATTTGCATATTAACTCACCACTTTTTGGGTAGAATCAACTCAGAGGAGATAGGGGTTTTTTTTAACTAACTGGACCCGAAAGTGATGGCATTGTCAAGTCTCATTCACACTTTGCACGTGCAAGCCCACAGCAGGCTTGCTCAGGCATGTAGGAAACTAAACCAATGGGTTTAGCCATCTGCTAATCATACTAATTTCATTGGGTGGATAGATTACCTACATTAATTTATTATTTTATAGAATTACAGTATTGAAAATCTAAGAATTGCTGTCTTACTAGGCATAATACTGTATACCATGGATCTTTTATGCTCCCTTGCTAATAAGAACATAAGTAACTCAGGTCACTGAGATGTTGTGTATGAAAGAGACAAACAGTTAATGATCTTGGACTGCATTTCAGCTTGAAAATACATACATAGAAAATGCTATCTACCATCAGCTGTATTCCCAGTTCAGTTTCATTGACCTGAAATGAGAACAGCAGTACTAACGGGCTAATAGAGAACCAGCTATCTGCACTTAAGGAAGCCTGAAATGTATACATACTTAAAAATATTTAGGAAAAATAAATAAATGGGGAAAAATTACAAAGAGCATGAATTCATTGTGTTGAATTCATTAAAATATCTCTACCAGGGCAAGATAAAGACCAAGAAGATGCATATTCTCAAAACTAAGTTTGGCCAGTGTTAACTAGCCTCATATACTTGTTGGTGCTCTGTTTGTTATGCAAATTCAGCCTGTTTAATTTATGGTATGATGTATTGTGTAAGCTAGAAAATGGTTAACTTGGTAAACAGCTTAAATGTACATATGAATAGTATGAAATATTGAGAAATGGGTGAGGGAAGTCCTTGCACATAAATGGAAGAAAGAACTCAGAAAGGTCATTTCCTGGTTCAGAAAAAGAAAAACATATTTTTTAAATGATGACCCTAGACCCTAAACTAACTCTCAAAATTGATGGAGGAATTGGGGCTCCTAGTTATTAATATAACTAGGACCAGGCAGAAATTAGTCCATCCTTCCTACCCAGCCAATAAAATGTAGGAGAAGGAGCCTAAAAAAAAATCAATTAGAATAATATTCCTCCTTAAGTGTACCTGTGTTTTTCCAGCTCATTATGTACAGACCTGAAAGGAAATAGAAACACAAAACAAAAATGAGATATAGTTAAAATTCCAAAAACTGAATTTCTTCTATTCGGGTCATTCAATGAAGCAAACTAAGCACACATTCAGTCACATCGAAATGTTCAATTTCAACCTTCCTCTTTTGTGCAAAGAAGTAAGATGGGCTGGTAATCTTTTCCATTCAAAACAAAAACAAAAACTTGCTGGATTTGCTAGAAGTCAGAATCTCGTGCTTATGCTATAGTGGCAAAATCAGTTAAAAATATGAATACCAGTAACTTAAATATTAAGGAGTAACATCATTCATTGCACAACCTTAAAAGAAATAAACAAATATGAACTATACATCTTTCAATGTTTTGGTATTATATAATGAAGTCTATAAGACTCAAAGTCAAGTCAAAGATTTAAACCCAAGTCTATATATACTTCAGTACAAAGTGGAAAAGTATTATGACACATCATTCAAAACACTAAAGGAATAACTAGTCAATCTAATTGCTATTAAAAAAAATACTTCCTAATATTCCAACAGTCATTCTTTCAGTTAAATTGTGCTTAAATGTCACTCAACCTCCCCTTCCTTTTGATTGTATCTTGTTCTTTCAATTGAAAAGGCATTATGAAGCACCTAAGTCATTCAGAAGCTCTAAAGGAATTTCTCGTTTTCCTAAATTAGTCAATGTAATTACTACTAAAAAAAAAATACTTCCCAATATTTATCTATTCAGTTAAATCCTGCTTAAATTGTACACCCAGCCTCTACTTCCTTTTGACTATATCTTTTTCTTTCAATTGGAAAGGCTTGGTTATTACACTCCTGTGTAATAGTACCTTCCTTTTATGAGTGCTCTTCCAAGTACTTCTCTTCTTATAGTGAAAGAAATGAAACTAAAACTTACAAAGAAAAAAACTTGGTCTAGAATTAGTAGCTCTCAAATTCTGGTCTCAGGACTCCATTACATTGTGAAAAATGTTTGAGGCCCCAAAGAGCTTTGGTTTCTGTGGGTAATGTATAATCAATATTTATTGTATTAGCAATTAAAACTAAGAACTTTTTAAAAGTATTTGACTTCCCCCTAAAAGAGTCCCCAGATGACACTTTAAGAACTGCTGGCCTAAAGGAAATGCGACCTTTTCACAAGACTTAGTTTTCCAGATCCGGGCAGCTCCTCCTCGGATAAAATAAAACTGCCCAAAGTCTAACTCTAACTGAAGAAGCCTTACCGGAAGTTTTTGAGGGCCTTTCGCATTCTCGGCCTCCTCTGCGATTGCAACGTATCTTGTCCGCAGTAAGGCGAGAGAGAAGCATAGCCATATTCGGCTTCTGGTATAGATAGATAATGATAGATGATAAATAGATAGAGACATGTTTTAGAGGTTCCAATCTGCCCCCGCTTTTCCTAACCCTAAGCCCGCCCTCTTCCTAAGGAGACCCAATTCGGCCGCCCTCCAGTAAAAGCCGTAGACGCGTCGCCCCTTTACCGCCCCTGGAGAAGAATGAATACCTCTCTCTTTGCGCTCCAAATAGTCAGCCGCTTGAAGCAAAACCTGAATGTTGCTAGTAATGAGCTCCATAACAACAGGGGACCCGCGCAAATAAGGCCTTGGTAGCCCTGATAACGCAACCGGCTCACCGCCTTCAGCAACCAACGTTGGCCGTAATCCCGCCCCTTCGAACACTCCCGAGCTTCTGATTCCACCCCTTGGAGTCCACGCGGGAGCTATTCCTTCGTGGGCCTCCTTCAGAGAGCGCAAACCAAGAAGGATGAAACTAAGCGGGCTTTTTCGTCTTGGAGCCGAGCTTTTTAGGCTCAGGGCGTTCCCGCTGCCTTGTTTCGAATCTTAAACTGTGCTGGGCGTGGCTAGGGAAACCAGCGCTCTTATTGGTTGGAAGATGTGACCAGACGTTTATCCATCACTGCCCTTTCAAAACAAATTCGGGCGGGTAATGATGAAGTCTTTTATGTTTGAACGGAAGGCGGGGGCTGCGCTCTCCTTATTGGTTGGAAGCAATATAACAAGACGCGTTTTAATACTACTTTGGAACAGCTCGGTTTTATAAATGAGAGACTTTTGCTTTTGTAAAGTTAGAGACTTGATGTGTGTACATAGTAAATGAACAAAAAAGAGCGTGGTAAAATATCCCCTGTTCGGTTTGGTCTGCAGTAATTTTGCTCTACGTTAACAATGGCCGCCGATATGCTCATCCGTGGATGTATGTGCTCGCTATTCTGTCCCAAGTTAGAAAAAAATGATCAACGTATACCTTACTACTTTTACGGAGAAAAAAATATTTAGCAGGGAAGAATCATACACATGAGACAACCTGCTCTCCTTTAAGCAATACACGTTTATAATCTATTCTATGGAATAATTCAGACAACATTGGTCTGGTGATACATCAGTATAGAAACAAACTTCATTTGTCCTTAACAAGGCTGGGTGTTGCTATAAAACGGGTCTTCAAACTTGGCCCTTTTATGACTTGTGGACTTCAACTCCCAGAATTCCTCAGCCAGGCACGCTGGCTGAGGAATTCTGGGAGTTGAAGTCCACAAGTCATAAAAGGGCCAAGTTTGAAGACCCCTGCTATAAAAGATCCAGAAGCCATATGATTCTACTTGATCTCCAGCAATGCTTGATTATAATTCTCAAATTGCACTATTAATAGGTGCTGAGAAAAAAAACCACTCTGCTACAAATTCACAACATAATCTTACCTTCAGATGTAACCCTTAAACTTTCTCATGTATAGGATTGCAACTTTAGTTTAAATTTCAGGTATTCCACGGATCATGAGAGTTGCAAGAAGTCAGACAGTATATAAATTTAATAAATTATTATCATCATCCATAAACAGCTTCCTGTACAGAAGTGTTTTTATTTTTAAAAATAATTGTAGCATGGGGTTGTATTTACCTTTTGTAGAAAAAGCACACCATTCCAATTTTTACTCATAGACAGAATGATAGGCAGAATGAGAAATCACTTTAGGCAACTCATGGTAGGAATCATGAAAAACTACATCTATTGCTAGCTATTAATTATTTTTGTATCCTTGTTGCTTGCAAGGAGATGTTCTGAAGATATTCTGTCTCAGCTGCCATGGTTCTGTATTTGGGAATGTGTGGGTGGAGGAATATTATTTGTTATAGAACAAAACTGAGTTGGTCCTGGCATAGCTGGCAAGATATGAGGGAAACAAAGCAGCAATCCAGAAGCAACTTTCTTCAGCAGAGAGGCAAAACTCTGATGATTAAATCTAGTGCAAGTATGTCCTGGCCCATGAGCCATATGCACACTTAACAGCTAGTAAGGCAGCCCCATGAGACTCTCCAAAATAAAGGAAGTTTGTTCTTTGTATACATTAATTATATATTTTATATGTGGCCTAAGACAATTCCTCCTTGCTCAACGTGGTCCAGGCAAGCCAAAAAGGTTGGATATTCTTGATCTAGATTCCAGTGTAAATATATTTTAGAAGCCAAACTGATTGTATTTAATTAATGGTAGAGGGTGGGTTGTACTCCCTAATACATCTTTGAAACATAAAACTGTAAACATAGGGTGTGCAATCATGTACCTTCTTCTCACTGGACATTGTTTTAAAAAGATTGAATGGGATAAGTTTGCTTGTACTATGTCATAAGTTTCAGTGAAAAAACAGTTTTTATGCAGCTGCAATATGAGAAATGGCAAATCTGAAATAAGATGGTACCTTAATGAATATGCGTTTGCATGTCTGTACACTTGGGTGCATATTAAAGTTTATACTCTGTTCCAATGGTGTTTTTCTCTTATTGGTTTAAACATAGCCATTGTCTGGCCCAAGCCCAAATGTAACACAGCAAAATCTAATCCAGTCCAATATTTTAATTGTTTACACCTAATGGACAAAATCTTGTCCGATTAAAGCCATAACTTTCTATCCTACTAGATATATCCTGAGAGATTCTAGAGAGGATCTACACTGAACTTCACCCATACAGGGGGGAATGGGGCCTCTCTCTGATAAGATTTATTGCCCTCTTCCTGGGAAAGCTCTGTTGCCCAAACTCCTATTCACCAATTCTCCAGATCAGACCTAGACATTTTACTGCTCCGGGCCACATCCGGCCCTTTGGCTGTCTCTGTCTGGCCTGCATGAGGTCAATTGGAAATTAGAAAATAAAATGTAAATAAGCGAGCCGCAGGGGACAGGAGAAGCAGCAGACTGCACTCCTTTAATTGGCTGGGGAGAGAAAAGCTAAGCAAGGTGAAGCCCTGCACTTCCTCCTCCCTTAAGAAATGGCCGCCAGCAGCAGAATTAAGTTCAATCTCTTGACTGAAGCCTTGCACTCATCTCAATACATTTCGGAATTGCGAATGAATATGTAGATGAATATGGCTTGGATATTTTTAAAGAATTATTTGGACCTCAGTTATAAATTCCATTTTTTAAAACCAGAGTGACACTACTTCTTTGTTGCTTATCAGCAATGCAGTTAGTGGTAAATCATCAGAAAATAGGGAATTTCTCTTATTATGAACAAATTGTGCAGATCTTAGGTAAGAAAGACAATGAGCAAGGGAAAGATTATTGAAATGCTGATTTCCATGTTACTGTTAATAGAGATCTGTGTACTACTTCAGTCAACAATATTATATAGCATTCTTATAATATTCAAGTATGAAAATGTCAAAATCTCTTCCCATGCTAAGCAGGGGGTTTAAGCTCCCCTTTAAGTTTCCCTTGCATGACTCATGGGCTGGAAGGCAAGCATACAACTGTATGCAGTTAATAAGTAGTGGTACTTGCTATTCAACTGACATCAAAGAAATTATCTAGCACATAAGGCACTAGAGCCAAAACCAGTCACCCACATTTACACAAGCTGACAAATACACAAAATCCTCTGGTTGAAATGAGATGGGAAAAGAAAAACAGCACAGTAACAAGATTTGTAGAGTCCGTGTTTATTTTGAACTCAGAATACACAAGATAGCAATAGCAACAGACAGCATTTTTCAAGTAAAAAGTTAGTTTATTTAAGTCAGACTTGATTTTATGCAGTTTTCTTGGCATTATGGAAATGATTTGCATTGCCTTCTTCTGGGATGGATGGATGGATGGATGGATGGATATATGGATGGAGATAGATATCTTCTAGTCTAGGCAAGTTTTCAGGATGATAACCAGCTCATAATGATTTCAGAAAGAGTTGTATGAATCCCAGATAGGTTTCCACAATGTGGCATAAGAGTTTACAAATATACATCGCATATGAACAGTGTTGCAGCTTTTAGGTACATCAAGAGCTGAAAAGCAAAAACCCATGGCTGTCCTCCACAAACTATTGTTGGAAATCCAGGTCCTGCCTTTCAGTTCCAACCAAAAGTATCCTCAAGCCCTTATTGCACATTCATCCAAATCTGGTAACACAATATCACTTTTTTTTTGGTTAAAAACTAACCTTAGGACAATAAATTATTCTTAGGTTCTACCAGAAGTCAGATAAATAGCACCAAGTAATTTCTACATGGGCCATCATTCCATTATAGAAAAAGCCAGCTTTATTAGCACATAGAAGAGTTTGTTCAGACTTTTTTAATGATAGAGTGCATTTCCAACCCCATAAATCCCAAGAGGTCTTCAATATAAAAATGCAAGAGTTCATTCCCCCTTTTAAGAACATAGTGCTTCCTCCTCCAACCCAACTCTTGCCTGACAACAAAAAGCCCTTTGCTTCACCCCCTGGAGAATCCTAGTAAGACAGATGTGATTGCTCCCATAATCCTTTGCTGGTGAGGCAAGCTGCAATTGTTTTCCAGTTCTTGGAGGTTCCTCAGGCACAGATGGCATTCAACAAAGCCCTCATCCAGAGACTGATGCTCACAGGTAACTGGCGTTCTTATTCATGGAAGGCAAGTGGGTAGTGTAGCAGTGTGTACAGATGCGGACTGGCTTCAGATGCCTAAAGTGGGGCAGTGCTGCCAAGTGGGATGAGCAACGGGAGCAGAAGATCTGAAAAAAAAATGTCCACCAAAAGCAACTTGAGAACAAGCCTCATTTCCTTTGCATGAAAGAAAGTAATAATGAACCTATGTATGAACTTGAATGTAATAAATGTATGTATAACTAGAACATCCAATGAAGCAGACTGAAGTAAAAAAGGACAATAACCATGGTCTAACACCCAATCATAATTCAATTTAAGGCCCAACACAGGAATACCCAACAAGCTGCAATTTAATCCTTTCTTTTACATGATAGGCTGCTCCACTGCTTCTCTCTTACTGCTCTTAACTGCCTGGTAGCTCAGTTACCAACCCCTGAATAGATTGTCTCTTTCAGTTTGTCTCACCTGGAGATCTGCATTTCCAATCCCCCTTCTGGACACAGGAAGGATCTTTTTGGAAAGTAATGATTCAAGAACTGAATACCTTTGGCCCCCCAGATGTTGAACTATAGCTCCCAGCATTCTTGATTCCTGATTCATGCTGTTTGCATCTATTCCAAAGTAGCCCTGGTCTCTTACCTTCCCACAACTCCGGCAGTGGTGCCGTCGCCGAAGAAAAGTGAAAGGCACATGACAAGCCATACAATGGCTAGAAGTGCTGTCTGGTATCCAGTCTGGGGGCACCAAAGTATCTGTAAAGGAACAGAAGAGCTGTTGGCAAGATAGTTGTATATCTATAGTTGTATATCAATCTTCTAAAGCCAGATAGTATCATAAACCTCCCATTCTCCATTTTCCAAATGCTTAGTTTCGTTCCATACAGTATAAACCTTGTGAATTCTCAAGCTTCCTCCTTCAGTTATATATTCAAGATGGACAGTGTTTAATATT